GAGAGAGAGAGAGAGAGAGAGTTGCCTCCTGAGATATACTATATAATATATTGTATGGTATATCTCAGGAGGTAACGCTAATCCTTCCCCGATTCCTTCCTTTCCGCCAACGTGAGGTCCGGCATCGACGTTTTCGTCGGAGTGCGGGGTTTCTCGTGCAGATGTATCCGCCAGAGTCACGATCTAGTACCCTACTGGTTTCCTCTTGTATGGTAATGTGTGTACGTATGGAGAGAGGAAGGCAGAATAATGAAATCACATGCTGTCCTTGTAGTAGAGTACTGTTCCGGCATTCCCCTGGGATTAATGCGAGATACCATGGAAAACTTCCGATCAGAGCAGACGGCAGCTAGAATTATCCAGACGTCGGATGAATTCTAATTAGTTCTCAAGCTCGTGTCAAAAATCCGCCTACATGTGTCGAATTTTACGACGCGCCTGTGAGAGGCACTGCAGTGGCAACCGTTGTCTCTCTAAGCCAACTCCTCCAGCGCCTGGCCCGAGTTAGTGAGGAAGTCGTACCTTGGCTCTCAGGGCGTCGCTAGCGGCCATCTCCCCGGCCGTGGTGATTCCGTGCCTGAACAGCCTGCGGAAGAGGGGCTTCGTCGTGGACGGCGGCATCGCAACCATCATCGTGGCCGCCGCCAGCCTCGACGACGTGATCGCCTTCACCGCCTTCCAGGGCATCTTCAGCGTCATCTTCAGCTCCGGTCAGACTGTTATCAGACATTTATTTCGTTTTCTCTTCTGTCTTCTTATTTCCGGTTCTTATAATTATTTACTTTTCAATTCATTTCATATGTTTTCTTTTTTAGGGATTATTTGGAAGCAAATACTACATATACTATTAAAAATAATGATATCACGATAAATGAATTAATCAAATATTAAAAGAAATTATTTTTTCGTAACTATTTCTTGAATAATTTTTGTATGAATAAATTATTCTGTTTTTCTATTGTTAATTATTTCTGTGGCAAGCACAATCGAAAAAAAATGTAATGTAAAAATTGCTATGAATGTGAGGAAAATCCACAAGGGTTCATAATATGAGTTGAGAAAATTAAGCAGTTCTTTCATAACATCTGTGCCTTTTTCCTTCCTTATACTATCTTAAAATGGCATTCGTCTTCAGGTGACTTGGGATGGCGGCTGTCGCAAGGTCCCATTGGGCTGTTGATAGGTCTTGGGTTTGGACTGACATGGGGCGCCTTCTGTGGCTTCGTTCCTCACCACACCATCGTAAGTACTACCTAGTTCGTTTTTTAAGCAAGTTTGTCAACATTTTATACATTGATTTTAGAAAGTATTGGTAGTTAATTGGCTTTTGGTCTTATTTTAATTATCATATTTGAACTTGTATGCGCGTTTCCACAAATAATCTTATAAATATTTGTTATTATTTCAAATGCTTTGAAATGTTTGTCGTGCAATTTGTTTTTTAGTATATTTACGTTTATAAAAATATGTATTTCGCAGCGTTACATAGGAATACTTTACTTTCCAATGTGATGAAATCAAGTACACTATGCAGCCACTTCAATCGTAAAATAAAGTAAGAATTCTTCTGAATTAATATCGGTAGTAGTAGGTATATTACACGCATCCCAGCCTGCATATCTCTCTATCGGTGTAGTCGTCATTACTCAATCCTCTTTTCTCCATTGCCTCTTCTACTTCTTCTCTTTATCTAAGTATAGGTCTTCCTCTCCTTCGATGAGAACCTGGTTCCCATTTCCACAATATCTTCAACTTCGCCCCAGAAGTCCATATCCATTGCTGTCGATTTTTTCGCTTTTTGTTACTTCCCATATCTCAGATCCATAAGAGCAATATTCCTTACAACAGACCTATACATTTTTTTCTTTACACTCTTAATTTATCTTTCCAACCTCCGGCATTGCTGCGGCCGCAAAAATATCGTGCAAGAACGGGATCGACGAAAACTGAGGAGAATCATTATATTTGACAGAAGTGCAACCCTTCCGCAAATTGCTGCAGATTTCAATGCTAGGCTATCAACAAGTGTCAGCGTGCGAACCATTCAACGAAGCATTTTCGATAAGGAGTTTCGGAGCCGAAGGTTCACTCTTCCACGACACAAATCTTTACGCCTCACCTGGACCCGTCAACACCGACATTGGACTGTTGATGACGTTGCCTAGTCTGACGAGACTTATTTCACATTGTTTCGAGCGGTTGGACGTGTACGAGTATGGCGAGTATGTCTAGATACGACTCTGACAGGTGATACGTATCCTCTTTTACTCTAGTAACACTCTTCTGTATTTAAATACTTCCAATGGCCACCAAAATCCCCAGACATGGACACTATTGAGAATATCAGGGATGCCTTGCAACGTGCTGTTCACCAGAGATCTCCACCACATCGATTTTTGGACAGCCCTGCAGGATTCATGGTGTCACTTACCTCCAGCACTACTCGAGTTATTCGAGTCCATGCCCCGTCGTGTTGCGGCACTTCAGTATACTTGCGGGAGCCCTACACGGTATCAAGCAGGTGTACTGGTTTTTTTGCTCTTCAGTGTACAGAGAATCGTCTTCATCTTCCGCGAACATCACTTGATCATCCGCGAAATGTAGAGAGGATAACATAGTCATTCAAATGTATTTTAAACAAAATCGAGGCTACACAGCATCTCTGTCGTGAACCTTTATTTACTGCGAATGGTGCTTAAATGTTTCTCCCTACTTTTATGTGGCTCGAATACCATTGAACATATCTGTAACGCCTCTAATCAATTGAATATTTACATTTTGTTTCTCCATTGCCTAGATAATCGAACAGCCTCATAGACTTTGCGCAGATCATGAACACAAGTTGCATCTCCAAGTTATGGGCGAGTCGTTTACCTGTATAATACTAAGAAGTTACCAATACATGAGCGACTTGCTAAACCAACTTTTGAGTACCTATTGCGGCTCATCCATTCGGAATATCCAGGTAGTTTGTTGGACAAAATATGCCCCGGTAAGAGAGAAAGCTCAGGGATGGCATATCTACACGATCACATTTACATATTTCTGTCTATCCGTCCTTCTGTTGGTGTACGTGAATAACACTTACGCGTAAATGAGTATAATTTTTTTCTAAATTGAAGAAACCACTGTTCATTTGGCCCGAGTCGAAGATGTGATTTTGAAAATCATTCATTTTTGAGAGGGGCTTACATGGAGCCCCTGGGACATTTTCAAAATGTTCTAAAAAATGACTCCAAATTTTTTCTTACAATTTCTTCTAAGAATGTAGTAAAATACACTTAAAAAAGGTGGCATAAGACCTACTTTCACTTTTAACTCTAAATTTTCTGAGGTCTTTCCAATAGTTTCGCAACGTTACAACTCTGCATTAATTTGACCATTTTGCTCTCGGCCTTCAAACAATGTTGATGCCTAAACTCATTTCGTAACGTTACGTCCCAGTTATCTATACTGACCACAGCAACGTACATTTTCAAACCGTCTGCAGCGATAATGATTGGACGGATCAATCCTTTTATCTCAATTGACGGAAATTTAATTGTGAACCCTTACTCTTTAAATTTCACCCATACTTGTCGGGTTTTCACTTCCACTTGTTTACCATTTGCTTCCCGAGTATCGAACTTTGTTGTAGACAGTTCCTCAATTTCTATCTTTTCCCGCTTCATCCGGTCATAGAATTCCCCTGAAATGGCACAGATGTTTGCTCCAGTATCTATTATTGCTTTTAATTCCCCTTTTTATTTAGCCCTTTGAAAACTAAACTTATATTCATCTGGCATCATCTGGTTCTCCGCCTCTTCCTTTAATAAATCGTCCTCCAAACTATTGATACTTTCAAATGACACTATTGTAACTATTTATTCATTAGATTCGTCGGAAATATCACACCCACATATTTCGAACACTTCTAGTTTTCCTGCATAACGGCGTAGATTTCAACATGTTCCTCCCGATTGCCGTTGCTTTTGATACTAAACGTTTGGTCAAACCGAATTAATCTTTCCACAGAATCCTCAGATGTCTGCGGTGTGTAATTCCACAATATATTCTTTTATATCAACTGGGAGTTGACGAATAATTATACATTATTTCTTGCATTTCTAACTTATCATCCCATGCCTTTAATGCAGCAATATTTCGCGTCGCGAAATTGACATAGTTACTTCTCCATCCTTCTCGAATCTTTCCCTCTTTAAATTGTATTTTAGTACGAACTTGTGGTCTTCATTTCATAACTCTTCAAAAATTTTATTTTCCAATCGTCGAAGTTCGCGGGATTAGGAATTAGGGAAGTAAATCAATGCGACGTAGCTTGTTCAATGTAATATAGTTTTAGTATTTTCGCATTGTTATTAGTTAAAAAATTACTTTTAAGCTTAGACAAAAGGAATAAGGTTGTTCCTTTCCGTCTCCATAAATCGTAAACTTCCTGGTAAATTTACTTCTGGGGTTGACATATTTATATTTCCACCGGCGCGTGCCAATGTTACCTCGTTCTCTAAATCGAATATCTTCCTCTTCATTTCCCTTGTCTGAATTGCAAATTGACTAACAGCGGATACTTTTATTATTTGAATTTTTTCCTGGACCTTTCTTTCAATTAATATATTTGCATTATCACATTGAACTCCTACATTCTTCAATCTGGCATTCTGTTGTCGCGAGTCGTGACGTTATTGTCCTACTTCGGTTACTACGCTATTTAACTGTTATTTTGTTATTGAAGACCATCTTTCCGTTCATCTAACATTTCAGAATTAATTTTATTTAACAAATCCTTGTGTTCTTCTTGGATTGCCTCCGTTTTTTTTTTTTTTTTTGCCTAAACGTATCAAAATTACTTTTCATGTCTCTTATTTGTTTTCCCATATCGGCACTCATTTGCGACGTTTCTTCACGAATTTTCCTGCAATTCCTGTTTTGTGATTTGTAATTCGCGAGATAGACCATCCTCCAATTGCGCGAATTTACTGTAGAAATAATCACGAATATTCGTTATTTCTGCATTATCTAATTTATTGTTCATTTCTTTGTTAGAATTTTCTATCCTTTCAGATGAATTGTCTACTGTTTGAATTTATTCTTCATATTGTGACGTACCTGGGAAACGGTACTTTCACGACAAATAAATTATGCAAGGGACAGGTACATTCGTGAAATGGTCTCCACCCCTGGACTTTTGGCGTAGCATAAATTATATCCGTTATAAATTCTTTTGCTCATCTAAATATTTTAATGATCAAGAGAACACACTTTACAAATAGTATTTACAAATCGCAATGCGCAGGCCTTGGACACAAGCGCACGGTCAACGCTACCTTGATGTTTTTAAAAACCACCTGTTTCCTCTGGAGGCGACCGGCGCCGTTCGTGCAAACGGCGCGCGGTGTCTTCGGCAATCTTCGGTTCGCCCCGAAGTCCGCCGGGAATTCGCCCTCCTTGGGCGACCAATCTCCTCTGGCCCAACAGAGGAGTATATATCAGAGACGGCCAGTCAATGTTAAACGGAAAGCCCTTATTTTCGTGGAGGGAGAAATTCGAATCTCTCACCCCAACAGAAAACAACGAATGAGAAAGAGGGCAGCCATATTGACCCCCGCAGCCAATAAGCGTTCGAGGGCAAGTAAACCAATGAAATGGAGGACGGACGTGAACCGGCGCTATTTGAAATTACATTATTTAGTAAATTTTCAATATGGCGGACATGGTATGTACTTAATGAAATGTATTTGACATAAAAATGATGCCCAAGGTAATGTAGAAGTCAGTAATTCTTAAAGCACATGTAATTGTGAGGAAGTGAAGTAAATTGTAATGATAGGAAGTAAAAATTAAAAAGAAATTTTACATAAAATAATATTTATTTGTAAAATTGGTACATATACAAAAAAATAACAATGTGCATGAAAAAATCCTGTTATGTGAAACAAGGAACAAATCATGGTCAATCATAATTTGTGATACTCTCATTATACTAAAATACCACTGCTGCTAAACAAAACAAAAATAATAATAAATTTGTCACAAATACAAATACGCCCATGAATGACAAGTCAGTATAAATTAAATTACATATAAGCATACAATACATAATAGAGATATTTATAAAAATTGAATATAAGACATAAATTAAATTTAAATCAATTCTTGTATTAAATACAATATCATGGAAGGTAATTAATTTTTATACATGGTAGTGTAAGAAGACTTAATTAAATATCAATAATAATAAAAGAAATTCTCCATAGATTCGTGCCTAGGCTGGGTTCAGTCCTTTATATCCAACTACCAGTTTTAGGGGGTTTGAAAAAGTAGTAAGCAGAAAATGCAAAAATATTAGTACTAGTTTTATTGATTGTAGATAAGTGTTATATACTAAATATAAAAATACAAAAACATACTTAAAATTAAACGATTCCTAAAACTAATCTCAAAAATAGTCATGTTGCATTTGTGAAAATGTTCAGAAAGTTATATAAATTTCTAGTAACAATCCGAAACTGTTTTCCAATGAGCTATGTATTATAGTACACAAGGCAACATGTAAGAAAAATAGTTAAGAATTAATAATTAACAGCCATAACATGAGACAGTTATCCTGCAAAATGATATTTTACATTATATAAAACACAAAACATCTTCAATTTTGTACATATCTTGCGTAGGAAAAGTGAAGCTCACCAAGTTGATTCAAGTATGTTTCTGATTTATTTACATTGCTACGACAAATTTCGCCTATTCTTTTCATTAATGAAATATTGGAGTCCCTGC